TGTGGTAAGATCGCTAAGCTAACTTGTCTTTACACGAATAATGATACCCGAATTTCTGATTTGATACGATTACTTTTTGGGTAATTTTGTCCAATACCAATACCGATACTGTGTTCCTTCTCTATATCGCGGTTCACCTTTCGCTCCCTCAGTACATCGCAGATTTCTTTTAATTCCATTTTTGCAAGGGCTTCGCTACGTCGGGTATTATATATAAATAATATAATAACTATCCCGCCCCAACTTCGTGAATTTTTCTTTTTTGCGATGGGTCTTTGAACGCAACTACCGCGATAGGAGAGGGGACCACTGTATATAGTTTTTTCATTAGGCTAGTTTTGCGTTGTTTTTTTTTAAAACGTAATCCTGGACAGTGCTGCTTTTGTGGTTACGGAAGCGGACTTGTGTCCAAGGTTCAAATTCACCATCCACAGGTTTCCACTGGGGTGCACTAAGCACGGCACCGTCCCCACACACTGCCCCCCTGCTCACTGAGGTGATGGGTTAAAGGCAGAGGTCACATTTTGTGGTGTGCTGTGTCACAATGACAACAAATCACTTTCACCTGATGTGTTAATCATCACGATGATGGTATGATAATAATAGTGATATTAGTATAGTTATTTGTCATACAGTGTTATTGTAATTTCAAAATCATTAACAGTCCTCTAAACTAAGACATGGATAACATAATAAAAATGTGGAATTAGAAACTAGGAACAAAACCATTAGTAAACACTGAGATGGCTGTAAATCCACTAGATAAAAACAGAAAAAACATCAGTATACACAGCTAATATTTCAGAAAGACACAAATGCTTAGACATTGTGTAAAAAAAAAAAACCTAAAAAAGTGATATTTTTGCTATGATAAATACATAAAACTCACAGCGAATTGAAAGAGAGTGGCCGTCAGACAAGGGGAGATGCTGAGAGATGCTACGATGCATGAGCCAATCAGAGTGAGGAACAGAAGAGCGTGCTCAATTAGCCAATAGTACACCAAGTATGCACTGTATTAGCCAATGGTATGCGGTGTACGATCTCGTCTAGGTAAACAAAGCTTCCAGCGATTGTTCGCAAATGGGCTTATCTCAATTTCAAAACGAGAATCCACATTTTTAAGCCAAAACTTTCGTATGTATAATTATTTTATAATGTCTCGTTTATTTTTTTGCTATATTTAGCGATATAGCAAAAATTGCGCCAGGTCGTATAAAAAAAAGTCTGCGATGTACTTAGAGAGCAAAAGGAGAACCGCGATATAGAGAGGGAACACTGAATATAAAAAATTGCGATAAAAGTTATTTTTAATCACTCAACGTTAAAAAAAATGTAATCAGCGACTATTTAATATAAATTGTGTACCTGAACTTCACTACAAGTACTGTATTCCCAGGAAAGCGGGCCTCTGTGAAAAACCCATTACTGTACTTTATTGTGACAGGTAAAAGGAAGTGTCGATTTGCCAATGATTTTCTTTGAGTTTGTCACTATGACGGACACCTCCAGTCCTGGCACGGGGCCACAAGATAACTTCAATCAGAAATGCCTTTCCTAAGAATAACCCCGTCTATGTGTGAGTCTACAGTAGGATAAGACATTTCAGTGGCCGCTAGCGCTGCCGTGAGTGTCGGGGGGGAGGAAGGGGATGGGGAGGGTGAGACAGCGTCAGAAAGTCCAGTCTAATTGGAATGAATAACTGGACAAGCTGATGTTTCTGTGGCATGGGAACCCTAAACTATGGTGTCTGCTGGTAGGCCACAAATCTGCCCGCCACCATGCGCCGCTGCCAGCATCGATGAGAAACCAGAGATGCCTCAGACTGACTGGTTGAAGCGCCGATCCACGCATGTCAATGACTGGACATATATTTGACCAACACGCTGTTGTGGAAGAAATGTCATCGATGCCATCGCCTGTTTTTTTCGATGGAAGTTTCAAGAGAAAAAATGAATTCTCTGCAACACGTTTCCAATTTGATCGTAGTCAAACATAAATATTTGGAGTGGACAGACGCACAAATACTGTTCATTCCCTCTCTTGTTTGGCATTCTGTGATATGTTAACTAAGCTAACATGTATTTACACGGGTGACGGGTAATACCAGAATTCTTAATTTTTACGATATGACTACTTTTTTGGCTACTTTTTTTCAATACCAATACCAATATTAATACCTAGTCTGATTTTTAACCCAATAAAACACCTGTCAAATACTGGCCATTTAATAAGTTTAGGATGTATTTTTTGCAACATAGTAGTCATAGCAAATTACTTTATTTTTACACAGCGTGACATAAATGTTTCAGGTCAATTT